TAAATAAATAAATAAATAAATAAATAAATAAGGTTATTATTTAACCAGCTTATGTTTTTCAGCAGTGAGTGTTGCTCATTCCATGCCACTGTAAAACCTATAGTATTTGTGTATTTTTAATGCTTTTTTCATGAGATTTCTTGTTAGCTAGTATAAAAATACTTTTTCTTTTTCTCATCATAAACTCTTATTGATGCTTAAGCTTGTTTTGTTCAAAATAATAATGTTTTTCCTCTCTATATCTATATTTATTTTACAATAGAAAAGCAATAAACTTTAATAAACATTGCAGGAAAGCTACAAAGACTTCAGTTCAGATTCATATTAAGCTAAATTTGATATAATCTTTTTATCGATGATGTTTTTCTAAAGACATTATATATTTTATTTGTACTTAAAGATGTTTTATGATGTGTTTTCAGTCAGAATGGCCGGAGCGCTATGCTGTAGCAGGTGCAGCTGTGAGTTCGTTGCAGCAGCAGCTGGAAGAGAGCAAACGTTCAGGCAAAGAGAAAGATGCTGTTGCTGCTCATTTGAAGACCCGTATTTGGCAGCTGGAGAGGGGGGTGCAGAAAGCCTGCAGGGAGGCTGAGGACAAGGAGGCGAGGAGGGAGAGAGAGTACAACATGATGCAAGACGTAAGTCAAAGAGTCACAAACCATAAATGTTCAAATCTGGAAAAATCTTTAACTTTGAAAGTATTCTCATTCTCTTACTGCAGTTTAGGAGTTATAAGGTTTTTTCTTCCCAGTAAGCCAAGCCAATTTAAATTAAATAACTGACACAAAACAGATTTAACATGGCAGATTCACACAAAATGTTTACATGTTGTCAAATGAGAACAGTGTGTAATGTTTCCATATTCTGTTTCCATTGAAAAGAAGCAATAAAGGCAGATTGGTTGAGTAAGCCATTCGCTCTCTTCACTGAAAGGTTAAACTGTTTTTACTGTCATTTTACAAGACTGTGGTCCACAGAGTCGACCATCAAGTGTCTGACTGATGATAACGGCACTTTTAGTCTTGGTTTGTTCAGAAACAAAACAGCACAACATTTTTTTCCCTTTTTATTTCACTTCTGGAACAGAAACAATGTACTAAATGTAGAAAATAGAAATAATCTATCTCATCATTGTAGTATCAATACGATGCAGGCATTTGTATTGATCTGGATTGATCTGAACACCATTAACTGTCCTATTCTGTGTCGGTAAACCAATATAAGTGTAAAATCTTGTTAAAGACTAATATTAAATTTGCTAATAAATAGGGCAGGGTATCATTGCCAATTCCCTAAAATGATTCAATTTTGATTCATAAGGTTCTAAATCGATTAATCACGATTTGATTTGATTTGATTCCATGTGATTCAGTCTGCTCTTACATAGTGAAAATGTTTCAACTGTGTTGCAAAATAATCTGTGTATCATTTTTTCTTTTTATTGTAATTGCCAATCAAAACTGAAATAATGAAAAGTTGACTGGGGTCAGTGTATCTTTAGGTCAGTGTATCTTTTAGGTCAGTGTATCTTTAGGTCAGTGTATCTTTAGGTCAGTGTATCTTTA